CCCTACACAAGGCAGCCACCCTCACTCTTGCTAATGTGAAAGGGTGCCATGCCAGCCCCTGCCCACCCTGCTCCAGCTCACTCACACTCGGGGGCTGGCCTGCCTCTGAACAGAGGTCCCACTGGCTTCAGGTCTTCAGGAAGGTTTGAATGGTCATCGCTTTGGTCACCAGAGCTGTGTCTAAGCCTGGGACTCATGGAAGGGGGTAGTCACAGACCCTCACGACTGAAGTCTGGAGCCCCTAATCCCTCCTTGTACCAAAAGGAGACCCCGGGGCTCTCACAACTACGGAGAGGGAGCTGTATCACCAGCATCACTCTGGTCTGTGAGCCAGCCTGTGTCTCAGGTGAAGAAGCAAAAGCTACAAAAGCCCAGAGCCCTGCCAGCTTTCTGCCTCAAGTGTTCCAAAGCCCACCATGGCCAGTGTCCCTGGGTGTGGCCTGGCCTGGGCCCTCCAGCTGTGATCACTAGGCTTTCCTGTGAAGGAGGTCAAGGAAGGGTGGAGGGTACTGTCAGGCCAGTGTCACCTGGAGCTGTGGGGCAGGAACGTGGCAGGCAGGCCAGACCACACCTATTCAGGAACAATTTGGCTCTGACCCCTGGCCAGATAGCCAGGCAGGGACCCAAGAGACACCCCTCAGCTCCCTGCCAAAAGGGATGGTGGCTCTGGACAGCCCATGTCTCCTCCTGAAGCCTGTGGAGAGGGGAGGGCAGCAGCCACACCCTGGGCAGCCACTGCACACTCTCCTGTCCAGGCTCAGTGCCTCACACCCAGGGTCTGCCTGGCACACTCATTAGGTGCCCACTGGACACCAGTGCCCCCTCCCCCGCAGGACTCACCTTTCCCTTGTGCCCCAGGATAGGCACACTCACGGCCTCAGCCTTAGCCCAGGGTGGAGGCTCACGCTGCCCACAGCCCTGGTGCCAGCCCTGCCCTGCCCAGCCCCCTGAGCTGGACCCGGTCCCGGTCCCGGTCCCGGTCCCGGTCCCTGGTCCCTACCCCTTCTGGCCCGGCTATGGCCCCTGCGCCCCTGGCGACGCGGCGGACTCACGTGAACACGAAGAACAGGGTGCTGGAGCCGACCAACAGCGCGGCAGCAGTGGCCACTGGGATGTACTTGGCGGGTTTGAGGCGCGTCCCGGGGCTGCGGGGCATCCTGGGCGCCGCGCCGCCGCATCCCTCCCC